ATTATTATTCAAACAACCTTGATCCAGATTAATAAATTGAGAAATTTGAATTTTTTCATCATTTTCAATTTGTTGTTGTTGTTGTTTTTTGATTTATGAATTTGGCAAAACAAAAACAAACGACTACATTACAATTACATACATAAAACATAATCGATGACCAATCAATATTTCTTTCCACTGATCGATCTATTTCGTTCGTTTCGATCATCCGATATATTTATTTCAAAAATTCATCATCATCATCACGACGATAACAACATTGAAAAATCAATTTTGTTTTGTTGTTTTTTCACAAATTTTTGATCCTATTAATTTTTTTTATGGAAAAAACAACAGAAACAGAAACATTTTGTGAAACAAAATCAAGAAAAATGAATTGAATTCACACCTTGTTTTTGTTTTTTTACTGATTTCCATAGGTTTTCCATTGTTTTTCATTGATTTTGTTTCGTTGCTCAATTTTCAATGAAAACAAAAAAAAAATTTAAAATTTAAATCAATCAATGAAAATACAGATAGGTGCATATGTTTGGCATCAAAACGAAACAAAAACAAAACAAAAAAAATTTTAGTTTTTTAAATGGACTTTGGCCATCCATTGAATTTATTCAGATTTTCAATTCGAAAATAGACAAATTTGTGGACAGGCGCCAGCCAAATTTCATTTTTTTGTTTTCATTCGATTTTTGAATGAATACATTAAACGTATTACGTAAAAAAAGGAAATTTTCGAGATTAAAAATTCAATCATGGGGAGAAAATCTAGATTTTTTTTTCATTCGAAAAATAAAACAAGTGCAAACCAATTTTGAAAAAAAACAAACCAGGTGTGTTTGGCTGGTTGCTGTTGTTTTGGCTGTTGGTTGTTCTGGTCCAGAATTTCCAACGCAGCTGGTAATTTTAATTTCTTTTAATTTGCAGAATTTTCCGAATATCGATCGGAAATACAGAAATTTCAAACAAATGTACAAACATACAATTTTTTTTGGTACCTGACTGTTAATTACAAGGTAAATTTGAAACCCGAAGAAAAAAAAATGAAAAATGAAAATATCGATTGAATCGATTGATTGAAAATTGAAAAAAAAAAAAAAAAAATTCTTCAATTTCTCACCACCACCACCACAACATAGGAACCTGGGAACGACAAAACATTTTTGTCACCAAACAAAATTGAATTTGAAATTTATGTGAGAAATGTTTTCTTTTTTTCGATTGCTTAGGAGATTTGAATAAATTTGCCATAAACAACAAATACAACAGAAAAAAACACTGAAATTTGACAAAGTTTTTGCTGCTGTTGTTGTTGTTTACCTGAATCATTGGATAAATTCAATGACCTGCCAATGAATATTTTGGCTATTTGAAAAAAAACGAAACTTTGGCGAAAAAAAAATGTTTGAACTAAAAACTTTGTTGAAAAAAAATGTTTGGTCTATCCAAGCAAAAGCAAGGCAAAGGATTCAGACAGACAGGAATTAAATTGTTGTTGTTACAGACATTTTGAACGTTGGTGCATCTGGATATGTTGTGTCTATGGTTATAACTTAAATGTTCTATTGTTCTATTATTCGAATATATTTTAGAACTATTCATATTTATAATAACTAAATTTGTTAATAAAGATTTAATTGCTGTTTTGCATTCGTTGTGTTAAGTTGATTTCTTTGTAAACCTTAACATTTGGTAGCAGTCCACGTGGTTCATTTTTTCATGTGTTATCATGGCAACCAACGATGGCGAGTCTCCTGGACCTTTTGATAAACTTGTCAATTTCATGGAAAAGCTCAATGAACGTATTTCCCGTATCGAAAATGAGCGTGTTGATAATCAACAATTGATTGGTCAATCAACAAATCCACCAGTTATTCGACAGAAATCTAATCATGAAAATTATGTGTTATCGCAAATTGTGAAATATGATGGTAAAAATTTAAAACATTGGCTATCTTCCGTTAAAGCTGCATTCAAAAGTTGTGGTTACAGTCATTTCTTAGAAAGTGAACTTGAAGCAACACATCCAGATTACCATCTTTATCAAAATTGCCTTGGTACGATTTCTCTAACATTTGTGCCTGAAAAGTTCGAAATTATCGAACATTGCAAAAGCGTGTATCAAGTATGGAAACACATGTCACAAGTTGAAAAAGATACGTACGCTACAGCAGTAAGAAAACAAACCGAATTAATGAGTTGTAAATATAATGGTGGTAGCTTAAGATCATGGCTTGAAACCATCATTGCTAAATTCGAATCAATTGAATCCGAATGGTGCACATATTCTGATAAACATCGATGCGTTATTGTAATGAGCATGTTACGATCAATGGGTAATTTTGAACAACTTGCAGATCGTATAATGATGAATCAAAAAGGAACAATGAATGATATTATGAATGAATTCATTGAACATGATGAAAAACAAAAATCGCAATCGATAATAACAAATATTGTTTCTAGAGAAAGAGTTCAACTCGTGAAAAAGAAACAATTTAAAAGTGATGTTAAATGTTCATTTTGTTTCAAAAATGGTCATAAAACGGATGAGTGCTGGACTAAACAAAAGATTGAAAAACAAAAATTGATTTCTAATTCATCATCTAAAGTTGAGACGTCCACACCATCATCATCAAATGCAAATGATAAAGAGCCGAAAATTTGTACTAAAAGAATGGCCAAATCATTATTGCTTACAACAGTTAAAAAGTCTCCTGATGTCTGGATTCTAGATTCAGGTTGTACTTCGCATATAACAAATAATGAAAATTGTTTAATTGATCCTGAAGATAAAGAGATCGAATTTGAAATTGCAAGCGGGAAAACCGTGAAATCAAAGAAAACTGGTATTGTTCATCTTAATCCAGAACCAAATTGTGAACTGATATTAACTGATGTTGCTTTCGGTAATTTCAATTCAAATTTATTGTCATTGTCAAGATTGGCAGAAGACGGTTTCAAAATTGAATTTGGTAAAAATAATGCTCGAATTTTCCGAGATGATGTATCGTTTACAGCAAATATTGATGAAAACAATCTGTGGACCATCAATAGTAAACCAAAAGAAAATAAAATATTTAATTTGTGGCATAAACGTTTGGCTCATTGTGGTCAAAAGACAATCAAAAGAATTAGAAAAATTGTATCACAAATCGATAAAAATATTGAAACATGTGAAGATTGTATGTTAAACAAATCTGTGTCCGCGCCACATAATCATCCAATGAAATACAATGTAAAACCATTTGAGTTGTTACATGTAGATTTATGGCAGGCTCCGGTCTCATCATATCAAGGTAGCAAATATGGTATGTTAATTGTTGATCATAATACTCGTTTTGTATTTGGAATACCTATTGCTTCGAAATCTGATGCTGCAGATAAATTAATTAAATTTATTGAACAGAATGAAAAACGATTAAAATGTAAAGTTAAATCGATTCGTACTGATCGAGGTACAGAATTCGTAAATAATCAATTCAAAACATTTTGTGAAAATAATGATATTGAACACCAATTGACGTGTGCATATTCACCACAACAAAATGGGGTGGTAGAAAGAATGAACCGAACGGTATTTGAAACAGTTCGAGTTATGCTGAATTCAGCAAAAGCACCGCAAAAATTATGGGCAGAAACAATGTGTTCGGCAATCTATGTCATCAATACATGGATTCGAAAAGATGGAAAATCTCCATATGAAAAACTATATTCGAAACAGCCAAATTATGATAATTTACGTGTTTTTGGTTGTGAAGTGAAATGTCCGCAAATGTCTGAACGACTTATGTTTATCGGATACACAAATAAAATTGGATGTTATCGATTATTGAATCCTGAAACATTAGATATCATAATATCAAATAATGTTCAGTTTAATGAAAGAAAAATGTATTATGAACGATTTGATTCGGAAAATTTATCTGAAGTCACATCATCATCAAATTTTGATCTAATGAATTGTAATGAAGATAATGATGATTTTATATCTAATTATGAAAATGAATCATCATATGAACAAACAAATCAAAATGAAGAATTGGATTCTACTGATTCAACAACAACAACTTCAACAAATGAAATTTCGGCTGAACCAAGACGTTCATCACGTATTAATAAAGGTGTACCACCAATCCGATATGGATATAAATGTATTGAAAGAATTCCTAACTATAATGAAACGAATTCAATTGGTCAAAATGAATTTATTCGTGAAATAACAAAAGAAAGTGATCAATTGAAGAAATGCAAAACCGTATGGTTTAATGGGTCTAGAAAATTGTTGCAATTTGTAACAACAGATATTGTTTTTGATCTTATCAAGAACATTTAATGTTATAACACAAAAGGGGGAAAATGTTGTGTCTATGGTTATAACTTAAATGTTCTATTATTCGAATATTTTAGAACTATACATTTTTATATTTACTGAATGTTATAATAAAGTTTTAATTGCTGTTCTGCATTCGTAGAGTTAAGTTCTTTCATTCGTTAACCTTAACATTTGGTAGCAGTCCACGTGGTTAATTTTTTCATGTGTTATCATGGCAACCAACGATGGCGAGACTCCTGGACCTTTTGATAAACTTGTCAATTTCATGGAAAAGCTCAATGAACGTATTTCCCGTATCGAAAATGAGCGTGTTGATAATCAACAATTGATTGGTCAATCAACAAATCCACCAGTTATTCGACANCCAGGAATGGACGCGTCAGGAATTTCTAGAGAACCATCCGCTAGGGAAGCAAGTGGATTAATGGATGGTCCATCCACACCTGGAATAGAAGCGTCAGGACTTGGACGCGAAGCATCCGGAATTTCTAGAGAACCATCCGCTCAACCCAGCGGTGCTATTGTCGGCGAACCATCTTCCTTAGCTTCTGGCGTTTCTGTAACTGGACGTGAACCCTCTGGTGTTCCTTCACCTGCAACATCAACATCATTAATTGAACCTGGTATAGAACCGTATACTGTTCGTGGTTCCAGTTTATTGGTACCTACACAGGACGGAGTATATCCTCCAATGCGTCGAGAATTCGAACCACAAGTCACTTATCGTCCACCCGTCGATCGTTTTGTTGAACAAATTGGCCAAGTAGCCAGTCAGGTTGCAGCACAAACTCGTCAACCAGTGACAATAACATTCCGTCCAACTATTGTTATCATACAGAATTTCGTCTCATTGCCATTGGATGTTCTGAAAGCTAGACAAGCAGCATCAGGCAATGAACAAATTGTCAATGTTCAAAACCAAGAAGTTTTCATCTATCCCAATTCGATAAATATCACAAATTTATCGGCAACATATTCACATAATATTCAATCTTCCGAACCGTTCCTTAATTTCACTGATTCTTCAACGAACTCAACACAAACAGAAAATAGACAACAATCAGAAAATCAACTGTCACAACAACCATCACAACAATGAATTGTTTTCTGAAAAAAATATAATTTTTTGTGATGATTTTATTTGAAACATTAAAATTGAAGATCATTATATAATATCAGAAATTTTAGTAAATTTTTTTGTGTGGATAATTAGTCGATTTATTTCGACAACTTCACACAGTAAAAAATCAACTGTCTTTTAGGCAATCCACTCCATATTATCGAATTGTTGACATTTTCTTATAAGATATTATATTTCTCAAATTGGGTGGTAAAATTTATAAATGGATCAATTTAGACAAATAAATTGGTCTTTTAATTTTTTTTCTTTTTAAACAACATTGATTTAAATCATGACTTTTGTTTTTGCAAAATATGATAACCAAATTTAAATTTTTTTTAAGTGTAGAATAAATTTCGGTCCTGAATCTTACAGAACATCGTTCTGAAATGATAAACAATTATTATTATTTGAATTTTTAATCATTTTAATAACAAAACTTACGATCGTTGTTTAACATTTTCTTTTTTATCCGAAGATGATGTTGATGATAAACTAAAATGATAAACAATAATAATAATTTTATTGAAAAGCGTTTATCGATGGATATTTACGCTAAAATAAGAAAATGAAAATGAGTTATCAATTACAAATTATTCAAAGAGATAGCCTAGGTACAAAAATTGAAAGATATACAGTATTTAAAATAAAGAAAATGAAATTAAGTAGCAAATACAATTAAAATTAGAATAGTGTTTTAAGGTGTTTATAAATGTGTGTGCATAAGTGTTTGAAATTGTTGTATGTGTTTTTATTCTGTATAAATTCTTCTAATGTGTTGACATTGTGTAAATGAAGATCGTATTTAATGTTTGTGTAGTGTGTACAATTTAGGAGTAGATGTAACATGAATATAACCGAAATAAAGTGAATTTTGTTTTTGTACAAAATTTTCAAGACTGTTTATGTGTTGTAGATTCAATTGTATTTTTGTGTTTGTGTAGTTCGGGCATTCCAAATCGTTTTCTATTACGTTTATTTTTTTCTTCATCCGAAGATGATGTTGATGATGATTGACTGTAATGATAAACAATTAATATGATTTTAATTTTAAAAAATTTAAATATCAATAATACCATAGTAACACCGGTTTGCACATTTGATTCGTTCCCTGATTTGTTGATGAGCATCTCTCGTGTTGTTCAGGGTTACACCCAAATATTTGAAATCAATGGTTTCTTGGAAGCGGAATCCTCTCACCTCCATGACGTGAGAGGCCTGGTAGTTTTTGACCCGTTGATCGTTAGGAATTTTGTTTTTGATTCATTAACGATTAGTCCAACTTCACTGGCGCATCAATAAGTTTTTCACATGTCGTTTGGAATAATTGCATCGTTGTACCGGTGATGACGATGTCGTCGGCAAATGCCAGAATTAGTGGTGAATTTTGATCGATCACAGGGTTTACCAGGTTCGCCTTACGCATTGCATACTCCAAGTTAATTTATCGATTCAATCGAAAGCTGTTATGGGCCAGTTGTCTAATTGGATTGCATACTCCAAGACCAGATTGAAGAGGGTGGGAGCCAATGGGTCTCCCTTTCGATTTTTAATACGTTTATTTTTAATACGTTTATTTTTGTCTTCACCCGAAGATGATTTTGATGATGATTGACTGCAATGATAAACAATTAATATGATTTCAATTTTAAAAAATTTAAATAACAAAACTTACGATTTTTCTTTCAATCAATCAATCAATGAAGAGTGAATGCATGTTGTGTGTTCATGTAAGTATATGCATGGGTGACAAATCCTAAAAAGCACGTGGCGGAAAAGGATGAGCGAATAGGAAACATGCTGCGGTGCACAAGCACATGCTACATATCATTGATTTAGAATGTAATAATGATGGTACTATTATTTTTTTATTGTGAAATATTCGATGACTGTCTAATGGATTTGGAGGCTCCTGAAACATACAAATGTCGATGTTGAATTTTTTTATAATTTCTGACATTTTTTGCAATGATGAATTGCTTTTTCTAAGGTTAGCCTGAATCATAGTAAGTTTTTTCATTTTTTCCTGAAAAATAAAAAAAAATTTTGTTTAAATTATGTTTATAAATGTTTTTGAGTAATTACCGGAAAAAATTGGTTTTTCCAAAAAATCTTGAAGAGATGGAAATTCACGCAAAAATGTAGCCACAGGATCGAATTTGGATTTGTTATAAGAAGATATTTTCCATGTTAGATTCGAGATTTGGGTTTGCTGAAGAATGATATTCTTCGTGTTGAATTACCAATTTGGATTTGTTAAATGAAGATATTCTTCATGTTAGATTACCAATTTGGATTTGTTAAATGAAGATAATTAATCAAAATAATTATTTTGTTATTTCGTAAATTTTTATATGTTGAATTAAATTCTTTGTGTTTTAAAAAATGTCACCAAAAAAATATAAAAAAGTTCAAGGCAATGTTGATCACAATGATGGTACTAATGATTAATTTCTTACATTGAAATTTTTAAGGAGAAAAACGATTAAAACTGATTCGTTTGGTAAAAGAAAAAAAGGCTTATACAAAATATAATACTGCAGCACTCAACCGAGGTTGTCTCCAAGGCCCTAAGTGCTCTCCACTGCTTTGGAATATCTATTATGACAATTTATTGAAACACCAAATTATTGCCATGGTAACGCGCACAATTGCAAAATGAAAATTGAAAAAATTACTTTTAACAACAACACAAAACATGATTATTCCAATAATTTTTTTTTGTCCAAATTTTATCTAAATTCTCGAAAAGTTGACTCATTTTTCATTGTTTGGTTTCAATAAAAAATATTCTTATCAGCGATATCAATATGAAATTTAATCTTTATTCTAGTTCAAAATTAAGCCATTCTGGCTATGTAAGTTGCGCCATTTGGATTAATAATGAATTAGTTCTTACTTGTGGTGATGATCGAAAATTATTATTCTGGCATATATTAACACATACGGAACCAATAAAAACATTAACATTGCCGACCGATGCAATACCAACGACTATGCATTACTATCCACATCATGGTTCATTTACATCTGATTCATCAATGTTAAATTTAATTAAAATTGATTCCAGTTCCAATAATTCATTGGCTATAGGAACTACAAATGGTTGTTTCTATTTATTACCAATCAATTGGAATGGAACCAAATTAGATCGAACGTTTGAGGCACATAAAGGAGCAATTATTGTTATACGTTGGTCAAATGATAATGGTTCTACACTGGCCACAACCGGCGAAGATGGATTAGTGAAAATTTGGTCAAAAGTAGGAATGCTTCGCTCTACAATTCAAGTTTCTAATACATCACCAGTGTATGCTTTGTCATGGTCACCGGATAGTAATTCATTGGCTTATGTCAATCAGGCTAATCTCGTTATCAAATCTCTTTCACCTCAATCCAAAGCTTTAGAATGGATGGCTCATGAAGGTGTTATTATTAGTATCGATTGGTCGCCATTGAATAATCGAATATTGACAGCTTCAGAAGATGGTCGTATTAAAATTTGGGATACAACTGGTCGAATGATTTATGTTAGCGGAAAACATTCATCTGCATTGACCTCAGTAGCTTGGTCTTCGGACGGTGAATTATTTACTGCATCAACATTCAATTCATTGGAACTTCATGATCAATTTGGTCATTGTTTATCAATGGAAAAACTATCAATGGAAGGACTGGTTTCTATATCATGGTCTCCTGATATTCAACAAGTTTGTTGTGTTTGTTCAAGTGGAAGAGTTTTATTCGCTTCTGTTGTGGATCGAATATTGGAATCAAAATTCTGGCAAGCAACCAATATTTCTAGACGTTCATTGAAGGTCAACAATACTACAAATGAATTTCAAGAAATTCTTGAATTCAAAGATCCAATGCTGAAATTTTCCTTACAATTCGATCATTTGATTGTTGTAACAAAAAGTCAATGTTTTATCTATAAGATAAACAATTTTGCTACACCTTATCATTTTGAAATGAAATCCGATGATTTAAATCGATTAATGATAAAACAATCACATAAATATTTTGCTCTGATTAATTTATCAGCTGCAAATTTATATTCCTATGATGGAAGATTTCTTAAAACAATTAAACTTTTCAATATGCGTCCAGAATCTTTACTTCCAAATCATGTCAGGTTTGATTGGCAAATATATTTAAAATTTATAACAAGCAAAAAAAATTAAAATTTATTTTTCTACTTTACAGTATGAATGATCATATAATAGCATATCGAGATTCAATCAATATACAAATGATTCATTTGATTGATCTAGAAAATCAAACAAAAATTGTACAAAAGTCATCTGGAATAATTGGACAATCTACTGATCAATATCAACATCAATTAGCAATTATAAACATTAAATTGAATACTGAACAATATCGATATAAATCAAGTTCAAGTAATGAAGATGTTCATCATTTATGCGCCATATTGGATAGAAATTCGGATCTTTATATTTTATCCTGGACACAGAACAATGTTAATTCGGTGCTAAATAGTATTAAATCATTTAAATTATCACCAATGATTCGTGATATTTGTTGGCATGTTGATTATAATCTTTTAGTATCGCTACATGAAAATCAGAAAAATTTATCCATTTGGTTACATCCGAATGCCGTATTTATGGATTCAAGTCTTTTACAAGATGCTATACTAACATTGTCGAGTCAGGAAATTTCTTCAAATAGTCGAATTGTTGAATTTAGTCAGAATCGTATTACGATTGAACGACAAGATCGTTTGAAAATTTATATGACTGTTAATCCATTTGTAATATTGTTACATAAACATAAGATTGATAATCGGCTGGATGAAGCCGTGAGAATGTGTAATTTTTTGGATAAATCTATTCACGAAATTGAACCGGTAGAACGTAATGTTCGCGATTCATTATGGGCAACTTTAGCGGTCATGAGTTTAGAACAGAAACAATTTAGGATTGCGGAAGTTGCCTATGCTGCAATCAATAAATTAGACAAAGTTCTCTATCTAAATCGTATAAAAACTTTAAAATCGCAGGAACTGATCACAATTGAATCCGAATTACTTTGCGGCAATTTCGATTTGGCTGAAAATTTGTTGATACAGAAAGGATATTTTCTGCGTGCAATTTATCTTCATCTTCAATTACAGAATTGGATAAGAGCGATAGATTTGGCTCAGAAATTCAATTCAAAATTTCCAAGTTTTTCAATCAAAATCAGTAAAAAAGTGAATAGTGAACAGCAAGAAAATGAACAGGAACCTATTAATTTGGAAGATCCCAATGAAATTAAAGTGGATTTGATTCATATGGTTATTTCTTGCTGGGAAAAACATTGTCGAAAACAACAAAATAGCAAATATAAACAGCAAACAAAGTCGGAACAATTACAAAAATTGGCTAATGAAATTGATTATATTGTCGATTGGAGTCTTATTGAAGAAAAATTACAGCAAGATTCATTTCTATACAGTCAAAATTAATAGTTGGATAGTTTTTTTTATTTAAATAAAATATAATTCTTATATATCTGATTCTGTGTACTGTTATTTAATGACGAGTCATTCACGTGATCAAGATTCTTGCTTGAATCTGTTTCATATATGAATCAAATTCAAAACAAAATCTACAATGATAAGAAATGTTTTATATCGAACAGATTCTTTGATTTTAAAGATTTCATCATTAAATTACAATAGAAAATCATGTAAAAATATTTATTTCTCCAATAATAATGGGTTTTTCACCAAATCAACAAATCAACATTTGAGTTCAACAGAAGTTCATTGTATAAATGTGGTAAAGTAAAGTTTTCATTTGATGCATGGAAACCAATTATATGGAACAATTATCTATTTATATTCACAATGATAGAAAATTTGATTATGAAAATTTTGTGGCTACATTGTTCATTTCTGATGAAGAAATTCGTCGAACAGCATTTGCCCTTCGTGCCTTCAATGTCGAATTGGCGCAAGTTCGTGATATCACCAGAACAGATGAATTGGCTCAAATTCGATTTCAATTTTGGCACGATGTCATCGACGAGATTTACTTAATCTCCTCTGATAATCATGTTCCGGATAAAGAAACACTTATGAAATATAAAAATTTTCCTTTGGCATTTGAACTATTCAAGGTAAATTATTTTTACCAACTTTTACAGAAATTTTATTTGCTCTTTTTTCAGGTACTTTCTGGAACTGAAAAATTATCTAAACATTGGATTTCGAGACTAATTCAAATTCGTCGAGATCCAAAATACTTGGGTGAATATCCATTTCAAACATTAGATGAATTGGAAAAATATTGTGAAGCATCAGTTGTGTCAATCTATTATTTGTTAAATGAGAAATCCATTCAATCACTAAATGAAGGACAAAAGAATGCAGGCTATCGTATAGCTTTAGATCATGTAGCCAATCATCTTGGAAAAGCACAAGGATTGACAAATATTCTTCGAGGCATTATACATAATTCCAAAAATCGACGATGTTATATACCGAATGATATACTGATCAAAAGTAAATCTTCACATGAAGCGTTTCTTCAATGTCAACAGGATAATGATTCTCTTCGAGAAGCCATATTCTTAATTGCATCAACTGCTAAAGGTCATCTAGAACATGTTCAAAAATTACTCGATTCAAATGGAAATGAAACACCGACGATACGAAAATCTGATCGATTAATGTTTTTGCCGATGATGGCCATACAGGCATATCTCCATGATCTTCAACGTGTACAATTCAATGTATTCGATAGACGGCTTTATCGTCGCCGTGGTTCATTACCTTTAAAAATGTGGTGGAAATGTAAAATTTTTAATTTTAGAAATTAAAAAAATAAAATAAAATTCAATTGTTATTTATATATGTCAAATAAAATCATTGTGTTATGCAATACATTTGCAATAGAATCCTTGGATCATTCAAATAGTATGGATCAGCATTTTTATTTACGGGATATATATCAATTGACAGGTGTCTGTTTGCGTGTTTGTTTATTTTTGTGTTGGTGTTGATGTCCTGATTTTGTTTGATTTCATTTTTTTTACCTGATATTTTTATTGTTTCTTATTTCATTATTAATCTATTTATGTTTCAATCATCATCATTCATGAATATTTACATTTTTCAATAAAAATTATCAGTATGAACAATTGACACACACTAATTGTGACAATAAAAATCGATAAATGAAACACAAAAAAAAGAAGAAGAAAACGATTGCCTTATTACTGTAGATAAATTGATTATTTTAAAAAAACACTAGAATATTCTTTTATTATCAGTGGCCTCTAATTTTTAAATCCGTCATTATTATTTTTAAATTAACAATAATAAGGATACAATAATCAAAAATCAAGGAATCAACAAAATCAAATTTGATCATTTTTTTTGTCTTTCTTTATGCTTGTCGCTCTTTTTCAAGTTGACGATAATTACCATTGTGATAATCAACATTATATATAGTGCAAATAATATTTATAAAAAAAAATTTATCGAGAGATAGAGGTAAAAAAAAACAAACAAATTTAAAGTTATACCTTTTCAAAAAAAAAATTTAAAAAATTGTATTTTCAATTATTTACTATTAGAGTAAAAAAAATTAAAGATAAATCATTCGACATTATAAAGGTATGTATCTATTTATGATTATCAACTCAATAATAAATAGATGATATTCGAATGGAATATCTGTTATATTTACCATTAAATTGTTATATAGAATCAATGATAGCAAAGCAAAGAAAAATAAAACGATAACGTTTCGGATTATAAAATATTTATTATTGTCATTATTATAATTATTATTACTGTCCATCATTATAATTGTCTACCTATATTATTGCTCATATAATCAACGACAAAATAATGTTGTTGTTGTTTTTTTAATTGCAATTTTAAAATTGGAAAAAAATAATGCAATGAAATCAACATCTATGACCAAACATTCCAATTTTGTTGTTGTTGTTGTTCAATCGATGTCAATTATTTGAAATGTTTGATAGATTTAATAAACAAATAATGATAATGTTGTTGTTGTTGTTTCTGATGATGTTGATGAAGGTGGTTACGATGATGATGATGTTTGCCATTTCATTCAATCTATAAAGTTTATTTTAAATATTATTAATTGTCTCTTCTTTTTTCATTACAAATGATTATCTTTTCTATCCTTTGTTTCCAGGCAACTACACCATCTTTTCATTTGATAATTTTTTTTTCTCGACTGGTGGCAGTTGGTACAGATAATAATCTTATAAGAAAAAATTGCTGAAATCAATAAGAAATTGTTTGTTTTCGATAATAATAATAATAATGATGATGATGATAATGAAAACCTGTGGATTTAACGTTGTAATCAAATAACCATAACCACGATTTCGGTTACTACCATTCATTTGTTGATGGTGGTGATAATAATGATGATGATTAATTTTAGTTTCCACAACCAGTATAAATCATAAACATTATTTTTCAAAATAACAACAACAACAACAATTTCCCTCCTATACAAGGTATATTACAAATCCATTTCATTCCATTCATTTAACCTCGATCTGATTTCAACATTTTCATCTAATTGATTTTCTCTGTTACTTTTTTTTTCATTTATCATTCAAAGACATTGAAACCTTATGCTTAAAAGTAGCCATCATTAATGATGATAATCAAATAATTTGTTTTATTGTGAAAAATATTTGTTATCAATTTCAATAACAAAAAAAAAAGAAAAGAAAAATGTCTCAATCGATAAACATTGATTACAGTAATGATCAACAGCTAATCGATGATACACTGACCGAAGAAAAGCCTTTTATAAAAACAAGAACAGAAAGTTTGAAACAAAATTCGAAAAAAATTCGAAACGTCAACAACGAAACGGATAATCGAACGACATCGAATTCAAATAATCATCAATCAACATCTACTTCCAATTTCACACGATTGATTAGAATCTTAAGTTTTAGGAGAAAAATTACCAAAAAAAGCGATCATGATCAATCTGAAGATAAATTATCATCTAAGCTTGATAATATACGAGGAAAACGTTCTCATAGTTCATTACCATTTATGAAAAGATCCTCAAAAAATCGACAAAATAGCGATTTTAAACCAACAAATATAGCTGGCGATGAAGCATCATCTGCTGATAATTCAAATCTTTTTATACGATTTTTGCGAACTTTTCGTTTTTTATATAAACGTAAACAATCGTCAACAAATCAGAGTTCAAAAATAAAACGCTCATCATCGTTAAATAATCCTAGGAAATCAAAATCATTTCCAGAAAACAAAAGACATCATCATTTTCAGATTGATAGGAGGAAAAAAAATCTTTCTGGTTCAATAGATAACATTTCCGAGCTTTCGTCACCTAGCCGTCGTTCGGAACCACCGCCATCAAGCCATCATAATGATTATCGTGCTCAACGTTTACCCAAGTCCCCATCAAAACAAAAAATCATTCCAAATGGAAATATTCCAAGTAGGAGTAAAACGCCACCACCCTCACAATCACAATTCATTGAAACATCTTCAACAAATTCGAATGAATGTAAAAAAGAATCGCCAGTAGAAAATTCGATTGATCAAATTGATAATTCGAATAACACATCTAAAATTCAGTCAATCGACAATATCAATCCTAATATTATTAGCTCAAGTGATCTGACTTGTAATGGAAATGGTTTCAATATAGACCAACATTTTGTTGACCATAATGATGATCAAAATGACCTAAATCTTCACTCATCTTTAGTGGAATATATTCCAGGTGTTTGTGGTATACAAAACCATGGAAATACCTGTTATCTAAATTCAATCATTCAATGTCTCTCAAATACTGCTCCTTTAGCAGAATATTTTTGTTTGAATTATTATCGTGAAGATCTAGTTCAAAATCGTTCAACAACCGGTGGTGAAGTTAGTGAATGTTTAGCTCTTCTTATCAAAAGCCTATGGACTTATAAATATTCTAGTGATATTTCATTAAAATTCAAATACATCTGTGGTAAATATAACAAACAATATTTAGGCCATGATCAACATGATGCTCAAGAATTTCTATTATGGTTATTGAATACATGTCACGAAGAATTATCAAAATCCAATTCACCATACAAATCAATAAAAAATGGCATATCGTCAATGTTAAAGGGTGCGCCTAGTCCAAAAAAAATTTCTCAGGACAAAAGTGAGGAAAAGGCAGCCAAAGAATTTTTAGCACGATGTCAAACAAGCAATTCGAGCAGTATTATTTCTGATCTATTCCAAGGTCAACTTCGTTCGACTATCGAATGTCCAACGTGTGGTCATCGTTCCAAAACTTTTGATCCATATACATCTATATCTTTGTCTGTTATATTTCGTTTTACTATTTTTATCAAAGTCACATTCCTCGACCATACCATCATCAAATATGGAATTTCTATTGAGGCGGCATTAATTCTACGCAATCTAAGAGACAAGATTAGCCGTATGATTAAGATTCCTGAACGTCGATTGCTTCTACTTCAGGAGCCGAGTATCCACTATCAGTTGGTCGAATTTGCTAATGATTACAAAATGTGTCAGGAAATTTTTACTGATTCCGAAACAATATGTGCTCTGGAAACACCTGAATTGTCTCACCAGGATAAAGATGGTTTGTTGACGATCGTTTGGTTGAATCGCATCGATGAAACTGGACCAATTTTTGGTCCACTGTTTACAACAGTAGTTTCACGCGTAATTGGTTTTCGAAAGTTACAAGAAAATATTTTGTTAACAATGGCCGAATATATCATAGATTTTAAAAATGTTGATTTCGTTAAATTATCACACTTCATAACATTACGAATACGAGTTGTCAATGGTTTAAAAGGAGAAGAATATTTAAAGCCAAGTGTTGATCATCCTCTGTTTGTAAAATCTGTCGAAAATGCTTTATCAATGACCGAAAATCAATATAGAGGACCATATCATCTGAAATTAATTGTCGAATGGGATTTGGATTCACGACAAAACATTATCGTTAGCAATGAACTTTTTAATATGATAGCACATGAATGTGAAGATGAGTCGGTTAAGAAGGCTCAAGAACATTCGAAAATGAACAATCGAACTACATTACAAGATTGTTTGGATTTATATTTTCGTGATGAAAATGTAAGATAGAAAATCATAAAAGACATATTTTTAATTTTACTAATTGTCATTTTTAAAATTTTAGTTGACAAGTGAAAATTCATGGCAATGTTCATCGTGTTCATCACAATCATGTCTGAGAAAATTGAACATATGGAGTCTTCCAGATATTTTAATTTTACATTTAAAACGATTTCGTTATACAAATAATATGAATCGACTTAAAGTCAACACGATGGTTGATTATCCAGAAAATGGTCTCGGTAAGTTTAAACATTTTTTTATATTTGAATAATCATTAATCGATTTGAAAAATATTTTCCAATTAGATCTATTAAAATATGTACAAGAAAAATTCAGTGAAAGTTTCAATGGAACTATGAATGGTCATGATCATTCGCCGTCGTTTTCATCATTGAATAGTAGTAATGATAGAAGATCATCGTCATCTTCATCGAATAAGCTAACCTATAAATGTAAGGGTAATGATAGATTGGACGAAACTACATATGATTTATTCGCCGTTTCCTGTCATCAAGGAAATATGCAATCCGGCCATTATAAAGGTAATGATTAGAAATTTTTAAGAAATTTTTTCCAATCAACTTTTATTTTCAGCTTACTCTAAGAATTCTGTAGACAATTGTTGGTATCTATTCGATGATACAAAAGTAACAGTGGAAAAATTCAAAGTCAAACAAGATGCTTATATTTTATTCTATCAAAAATCATCAGTATCAGCCAGCTATTCGATGATTACTACAAAATGTCAACATTGGGCATTTCGAATGCCAATTTTTGATTATAATTTTCAGAATGGTTGTCATCAACATTCTTCATTGTCATATTCAAACAAATCATCAACATTACCTAGCCAAAAATCGCGGATGAATAATCATTCAATAGCAACTGTTAATCATCATTATAGTAATCATATTGATTCATCAAACAAAAATCAACTACATTATCAGTATTCGAATGGTCAATATCAACAGCAAAAAATATTTAATGACAATTCAAAAAAATATAAATCAGAAAATAATTATAATATAAATGGCTATCATAGTTATTCTACTAATAACGATAATAATCACCATAATCAAATTGAACAATCAAATCAACATCATCATCATAGCCATCAGCAATTGAATCAACATCAAGCATTCAATACTTTTTCCAGAAACAAGTCAAAATATGCATACTAGTCGAAAACATTCGGGATTCTCGATCCTTTTCCCTTGATGATTTTTTTAATTTTTATTATCGCTTCATTATACATGAGAATTTTGAATTATGATCATTCATTCACTTGAATCGATTGATTGTGTAACATTTTGCAAACATACATTCCTGATCAACTTTATGATGCTGATTTTTTCATAATCAGTTTTTATTATTGATATTCACTTTTGTGCAATTATATACAAACAACTATTATTCTATTTGTATTTTGTTTTTGTTTTTTTGCAGCTATTTGTTTTTTAAATCTCATAGATATTTACGAATAAAAATTTCATTTAACAATTTTAAAAGCGTAATTTACTTTTGATTTTTTTCGGGAAAAATTTATCGATTGTATCGATACTTGTATGCACATGTGATTGCCATTTGGATATTCTCGTATTTTATTCTTAACACAGATTTGTGATTTTGAAACATTTTCATCAAGGGAAAAACATGTCCACCATGAAACTTCTATCAATTACATCTAGATTAAACCGACAACTTATCATCAACAGGTATAAATGGTTTTTATCCGTATTCATTGTTTCACTTTAGTTATCATTAGAACAATACATGTTGGTCGATCTTTGTGTTCAACACAAGTTGCATCTCAATCCATTGCTGATAGTAATCAGATATTGTCGCCTACTGAAACAAGTCCTAAAATAAAGGCCATTGTCGATGAAATTGGCAAGCTTACCTTGCTAGAAGTGGCCGAATTGAATGTAGCGTTGAAAGAAGTTCTTAAAATTCCTGATGCTCCGATGATGTCTTTTGCTGCCGGTGCGATGATGGCAGGGATGCCCGGCGATAAAGCTGCCAAATCTGATGAAGATGCTGATGCTGCTTCCAAAACTGTACAAACTGCATTCACCCTAAAGATAACGAAATTCGATGAAGGTAAAAAAGTTGCATTGATCAAAGAGGTGAAAAATTTGGTCGAAGGTCTTAATTTGGTACAGGTAAATTTTTGTAGGCCAAAAATAGCCTTTTCGGTATACTTTTTATTCAATTCTTTCATTTTCAATCATTTATTTTTCAGGCGAAAAAATTTGTCGAGTCTCTCCCACAGGTAGTCAAAAATAATCTTTCTAAAGAAGAAGCAGAAAAATTAAAATCTACATTGGAATCTGTTGGTGCTACTTGTTCAATTGATTGATTGATTTCTACATAGTCCTTTTATTTAGTTTTTTCATTTGATTTCATAAAAAAATTGTATAAAAAATAAGTAATAAAAAATAAAAGAAATTTATAAATTTGACTTTTTTCGGCCTTATTTTGAATGCTGCGAAAATCGTTCCAAATGATACATTGTTTATGAAGCTATGCACGCCGTTTAATACATGCCATATAATGATTAGAATCTTAGCGCGAGCTGATGAAATTCATGCTTTTATTTTAATTAAAATCAAATTAAAATAAACAAATTTATAGCTAGAAAATGATGTAAGTTTCCAGTTTCTATTATAATTTATTTTTAATCTTTTTTTTACCTTCAAGAAATTCGGCTGAAATATTAAAACAGAGACAATTTGTCTCGATAGCACAAAAGGCTCCGTTCTGGGCCGGAATAAATCTATTGTTTCTAATATTATGTTTGATTGATTTGTAAGTGATTTTATAAATTATAAGAAACAACTAATATGTAATAATAAATTTCATTTATTGATAATAGCAAATGTTCAGTATTTCTATCGATATCATCGTTAAAATTCATCGAAAATATGATTACAGTTTTCGGTATGTTGTTTTCGTTTGAAATTTTTCTATTTGTTATTAATTTATAAATTATTTTTTTGTTAGAAATTTTCTTGATGTTTTTGTTTTTCGTTAATTTCCTCTATAACTCATATCTTTTTGTGCGGTTCAAAAGGTTTTTGCAGCCCATCCAAATGACACCAGAAGAATTTCGTATGTTTGGAATCGATGAAAAAGAATGTGGCTTTAAATTAAAAGATATGGCTGCTTTGAATGATAGTTGTCAAGAATTGAAAAACAAGCCGAAAATTTCTCTCACACCAAAATTCGAAATAAGTTTCGAAAATCATTCTAATCATGGAAATTCGTCTTTGGATTCCACAGCTTTGTCTTCAAGATTCAATGACAGTAATTCACAGTATGATATCAAACCAACTGGATCATGGTCTTTTAATCTAGGAACCGTTGTCGATTCACCATACTCAAAAAGATCTGATGCAAGTTTGAATAATTCACTTTCACAAAAACAAATTGATGGTATACGATTTCGACGATCTAGATCATTTCTCAATGATTCTTTTAATAAAAGTTTATCACCTACATGTTCCTCATCTGTTATCACATCGAAAGCCGATTTAGATCGATATTTGCAAGAACATGAACAACGTCAAGAAGAATTGGAAGAATTATTTCATGCCGAAAAGCGTTATGGAAATGTCAATCCAATTTTACAAACAATGACCGACATGAATTCAGCATCACCCACTACATTATCTCCAGGTCAAAATACGAATCATTCTGCAACAAGACAACAATTTTTACAAACAACAAATAATGATCTCTTTATTCATAATAATTCGATGACTCCAACTAAACACGTTTCATTTGTTGGTAATTCATTTAACGATTCTTCTAGATTTTTGGCTCACCAATCCCCTCCACGAACATTAACACCTCCTTCATACAAATCGGCTATCAAAATTCATTCGCCACCAAGTGGAAGTAGTCTAGAAAAATCGGAATCATTGAACTCAAGTACACGAACTCTCGAAAAAATTCTGACAAAGTTGAACGTTGACGATTCTCGTTTAAATCAAATGGTGGAAAACATTCGAAAATGGATCTCACAGACCATATTAGTTCGACTTTGTCGAGAAATTGAATCAATAAACAAATTGATTGTCGAAAAAGGTTATATTGATTCAATGATTGGAGAAACTCCATTAAAGAATTTAAAACAATTAGCCGAAAGCCGTAGAACAGAATTTCCTACCTTGGAACAAGTTTGTCCATTCTTAGATATATCTAATGTTCGTAACCTTGAAAATACTATACCATTGCAAGAATATCTTGTACGGCGTTTAAAAGATTTAGCCAAAGGTGGTTGTATGATTGAATTTCTTTGGGATGGTGGTGGAAGCTATAATTATCGACCATGGAAACAGGATTCAATGTTAACTGATGCTGAATTGATTCTTCATGTTTTCTGTACCTATATGGATTCACGTTTGCTTTTCAATCCAGCATTGCCTGAAGGGAAACCATTTACAAGTCAACATTTCAAAGTGGCAACATTAGGAGGAAGCCCGGGCACGAATTCTTCATCAATGAAATTCATAAAATCTGATACCTACATAAAACAAGATAAAATTTATCCACCACATTATTCATTAGTGTTAAAAGGCGAACACTTTGAAATTCCTCCTGGTCGAAATAATTTATTTTATGCTTTATTGATCTTTATTCATCACATAAAAGTAAAAAATTTTGGTCTGTTAGGGTAAGAAAACTTAAATGACAAAATGATTCAATTTTTCCTCCTGAATAATATGTTTTTCTCATCATTACAGACGAATAAATCTTGGCCCATCCGGATTAAATATTGCCTGGGTGATTGAATCAAAATGACCAACGACGACAACAACAACTCTAATGATTCTTTTTTTGATGGTAATTTGTGAAGAAACATTATTTTTTTGCTAATTAAAACATAATTTCAATCAACGAAAAATATTGAATCGATAAATTCATGTGATATTTCTTGAATTTTATTTCGTGAAAAATAATAATAATAAAATCTTATTTAATATCATATTCGTGATGTTTTTTTTCTCGGTTTTAAATTATTTAAAGAAAAAAAATTAGTTCATTTGCGTTAATCTAGGTAAGCTGAATCAGTGGATGAGAGAATTTTTGTTGTTTGGTTGTTCTTGTTACGAACCGAAAATTTAGGATCATTCCATATGAACACACAATATACAAACAAATAGGACAACAATGAACCTGTTGATATGATTGCCAGCAACAACAACAACAGCCTAATAATAATGATGATTTGATGATGATGATGGATTGATGAATGGATGACCCGATGGATTTCGAACAATACAATCTTCATTATCATCATAATCATCATCACATCACCCGAATTTTTTTTTTCAGGGAAGGGGTGGGATGAACGAAGCACCTACACATGTATTGCTCGATAACAATAAACAATATTTAACTTTTGTTAACCAATACAAACAACCAAAAACTATTCAAGACTATTCGATATTAACTTTGACCTAGAAATAATCATGGCAAGAATAAAATATAAACAATATATGCATGTTATTAATTGTACGGTCTGAATTTTTTTCGAAAGAAAGTATCGAAAGGATTAGACTAAAAAAAGTATTGAAAGAAAAAAACAACAACAATATTCATTGATAGATTTGATGATCAAATATGGTTGGCTAGATAAAATAAACATATATTTCGACCAAAAGAATTCGAATAAAGTTATTTGCAAAAAATGAATTATTTCGTGATCAAGTTTTTTTTCGTTGATCAATGCTTCTATAACGAATGTTAAAAATTTTCGATCATGAAATTCATGGGAAAATAAACATTAATTTATGGTTGATCAGATAGAAAAGGAATCATTTGTTTTATGGTATAAATTATAAGTAGATTTTATTCTTTAAAAAAAATAGTTTCGGTATGAATCAATTTTTTCAAAATAAGATAATCCTTATGTAAATAATTTTTTCGAACGATCATGTTTGTGTTTTTCCATTTCCTATAGGTCAATAAAGTTCAATATCATCAAACATTATTATTTTGATGATTGATATGGACACATATTATATTCATCACTATGATTAAAATATGAATTTCTGACGGATGAAGAATGAATTATTATCGTATTATTGAATCGAAATGGTTGAAAAACAAACAGTTTCAACAAAATTGACATTGAATATAATAATGTTAATAATGGCAATTGTGATTTCACTAACAAATCAGAACAATTTTTCTTTAACCAAATGGTTATGGGATATTGGATTTTTTTTGAAAAAGAATATATTTCTAAAATGAAAATAAAAAATTTTGATTTTATTTATAGTTATTGTTGTTACAATTATTTTGTACAATCGAAATGAATAATGAAAAAGAATCGCCAAACAAACAAATGAACAACATTGATGAAAAAAAGAGAGATAAATCTATCCATGACATTGAAACATTTGATTTTTTATTTTGATTACATAATGATAACGAAACTAGACAAATATGAAATAAATGAGAAAAATAAATAGTATTATGATATATAAGAACAAAGGAAGAAAGGGAGAAAATAAAAATAAAAATAGGTTAATAATATCAAACAAATAATAAATCATATATCTCAATATCATCATCAATTTTTCAGTTTGTTCATTTTGATAAATACGAATAATGTTCACATTCATTATACTTCAATATTTTTGATGAAACAAAAAAAACTTAAGCAAATGAAATGAATGATTCACATGCTAAACATAAATATTTAAATGAAATCATAGAAAAATCCAACAGGTGTATGCATATATTGCATTAAGAAAGGAAAATCATTCAGATTAATTAATACAACAAACTGGCTATCGATTCAATAAAAAAACAGAATTTTTAAAAAATTATGATTAAAAAAAATTTCTCGAAGTATAATGAAAAAATTATCTTCATCCAAGATTTATTATTCATTCATTCGGGAAAGTTTTTTTTTGGAAAAAAATTTTCAGAATACATTTTATGGACTAGATTTCAACTTTGACAGATACTTTCTCACACTATTTTCTTATTTCTATAATCATGATCCATTTTTTCTCACTATTTGTTGTCGTTGTTCTTGCTTATTAATTATCATTGTTATTGAATAAATTTTGACTAAAATTAGATGCTGATGATGATGGTGGTGATTTGAAGTGAGAAACAAAAACAAAAATGACAATAACACTATGGATATGAAATATGATTTTTTAAAGAAATCAATCAACCTTGAAATGACATGTTTTAAATGAAAATTTTTCAAATAGTCAAACCATTTGATTGTGTAATAAGCAACAATTTCGATCATCACACAATCATCATCATCATCATAAACTATCATTAGGATAATAGAAAATTGATCAGGTGTGTTCACCTATTTTTATTTGAAATGTCATTTAAAAACATTTTCAAATGTTAATTTAAAATTTTCGAATCAATCGTTTCAATGAAACAAAAAAAAAACAATGACAATTATTTGACGTTGTTCGTTGTATATAATCAATCATTCAATCAAACAAAAAATCTATATATTCATGATACAAATTCAAGTAGGCATAAAGTTGATATGGTCAAAAAAAATTTTGAAATCATCAGATTATCCAGTATTTTTATCATTGAATTGAGTTTCTATCTAGCTGATTTTGGAAAATTTGATCGATTTTTTTTGGTTTGTTAATAAAAAACATCTCGTTTTCTTCACCAAATGATTATCATTGGTGAAGAAAATATAAATAAATGATTGAATTGATCTAGGGAAAAAATGTATCCAGAAAAAGAATTAAATCATTGCCGATCACATATCTAATCCTTGCCAAGTGTGTGTGTGTGTTGGCGTATAACTTGATTTTACAATCAACGGAAAAAAATATTAATCCAGTTTTTTTCCTAACTTCTTTTTTCTATAGTCCAATTTTGTATAAAAATTTAAAAGGAAAAAAACGAAGTCGGTAAAAAATATACATCCAGACAGAAATAACAACAACAACAACGCCGATAAAATTTTTCGCACAAAATAAAAAAAACCGTTATAATAATCTCGTATCCAATTCAATGGTTTATCTTTCTTGGTCGACTTGTTATTAAAAAACAAAATTCGATAACAATAATAAATCATTACATTGCAAACATCAATTTAACTTTTTCTCTATCTTTTTCACTGACCAAAATATATAATCTTTCGAAAAAAAAATTTCGGAAAACGAAATGATTTTATGAAATTTTCATTTTTAGTATACAAATAAATCAAAATTGTACAATTAATCAATTAAATATATGTAAGATAAACAGAAGCGATTTCTCTTTTTTGTCTTTCCGATGCATTTTTTTATAGTGTAGTCAAAAACAAAAAAATTCTGATGAAAAAAAAATGGAAATAGATCCAACAACTTATAGTCGAAATAGATTAATAAATATGTTTTGTTTTATCTGTTGATCATCATAATGGACCAGCCAAAAGTAATAACCATTTTTTTGAAACATTTAGATGAAAACGATACTAGGGGAAAAATTATCCGTAAAAAATTAAAAACAAAACATCAAGAAAATGTTATTGGATACTGTGATGGAAATAAAATGAAAAACGATAGATACTTATACGGTATATTTGATTTATGGTACACGAGACATTGTACGTCTTTTAAAAAAAAGTATATTTAATGAGTATATAAAAGATACTTTTTATTATTGAACCTAATGATGATAATTAATCATTCAATATAGCTGAATAGCAGCACCTTTTGAATTGATGAAAAGAAAAGTTGCATGAATCATTTTTAACTTTGATCAATGTATTTTATATATATTTAGCATTACCAGTTATTAGATTGTAAATGTAAATTTAAAATGAATTTTTGATTTAAAACAGGATAACAGGATAATGAAGAGAAATAAAACAACTTATCCAAAAACATTTCAATACTAATAATGGTTACTATGGTGCAAATACTAAATAAAAATAAAAATATTTATGCCATTTGGTTTGGATTTATTCATTTTTTTTCTTCTTCTTCACTAATAGATTTATAAACATTTTGAATATTTGTGTTATCAATGATCATTTCCTGAATTGAAAGTCGTATATTAATTATAAATTCAATTTGTTTTCATTATTGATTTCTAATGATGATTAAAAACGTAGTAAAACACGGTGTTAATGATATACAATGAACATTATTGTTATTATAGAAAAAATTCTTTTCCTTTATTTCTTTTCATTTGAATAAGATGAACTTATGAACAACTAATCGTCACTATCATCTTTATCAAAGAAGTAAATAAATTACAAAATAAAATGTTTTAACAAATAAACAATGATTTTATTCATTCAAAATATTTATTTCAATATGAATACTGCATATGATAAAATAGTAATTAACTCAATTCAATAGGTGATTATATGGAACAAGGAAAAATTGAATTGAATGTCCACATAGACTTAAGTCTATAATACTATTATTACAAGACATTTAATCATACGGAAGATGTATATTGTATGTGTGTTCAAGCATGCAAAATAGATTATCATTTTTGTTGTTGTTGTTGTTGTTCCATTTGAGCTATTCATATTTAATTGTTGTTTTGTTTCCGGTTCAAAAAAAAAATCATATTGAATCATCATGAACATCAAACATTGATGACGAATTTCAACACAAAATATTTCCTATGAATTGAAGCAATTGATCGTTTAAGTCTGAAGAATTAATCATATTCTATAGACAATTCAATAAATAAGTTAAGCTAATTAAACTGCAGACACACAAACACACACCTATTGAAATTATGTTGATGATTAATTTTTTCCTTTTTTTGTTTGTTTGAATAGTTTTGAACAAAAAATTGTCATGTCATTAATAAACAAGACTTTTAACGTTTCTTTTTTTCTTTATGGGATTATGATATAATAATTATTATCATTTCA